TGTGGGTGTGGGTGTGGGTGTGGGTGTGGGTGTGGGTGTGGGTGTGGGTGTGTGGGTGTGTGGGTGAGTGTGTGTGTGTGTGTGGGTGTGTGTGTGTGCGGGTGTGTGTGTGTGTCGTGTGTGTGTGTGCGTGTGTGTGCGTGTGCGTGTGCGTGTGCGTGTGCGTGTGCGTGTGTGTGTGTGTGTGCGTCTGGGTGCGTGGGTGTGTGGGTGTGTAGGTGGGTGGGCGTGTGTGTGTGTGTGCGTGTGTGTGTGTGTGTGCGTGGTCCCCCTGGCTCGGGGCACAGCAACCTCGGGCACACACTGACATGGATGACGGATCCGTGACTCTGGCGAAGCATGAGGCCAGTGCCGCCCGACTTGGCGACGGAGCGCGCCGATGTTGTGCGGAAGCGAGACCCATTGCCAATCCACGCGGCTGAATCCAAGTTTGCGTCTCCTGTAGTGGGACGCGAACGGACATACGTACTAGTACAATGTCCTCCTCGGAGGCCTGCGCTCGATGCGAACACATCCCTTAAACACCTCCTACTGTGTATATATATATCGTTTCCAGAGCGGTAAGGCCGAAATGCGCCCGCCACGCAGCATATGCCATAAGATTCCTCGGAGCGCGCGTCGCTCCTGGGGGGGGCGCCGCACACATACAAAAGTTGTATGGCCGGATCTAGGAAAGATAAACATCTTGCAAAACATGAGAACCTCCGTTGGCCAAAGCAAACAGAACATCCAAGGGTACCCTCCCCAGGATGCACAAGAGCATCCAACAAGCACGAAAAACACGATGGTGCCCTCCCCAAACCGAACTCGATCTTTAGAGGACTCCTGGATGGGGTCCGACTAGATGGGGTCGGAGGATCGCACCGCATCGACAATGCATCGACAATTCATTAGCGATGGATCGGCGATGCATCGACAACATCGCCGGTGCAGCAGCGCCGTCGGCGGCGCGACCCTACGACCCCATCTGCTCGGACCCCATCTAGGAGGCCTAGAACCTTATACCTCTAGACAAGCGCGTTCCACTACTCGCAAAGTAGCTACTCGCAAATGGCCTGGATCCGCCGCCGGGGACTTACGATACATTACCCTAGAACCACGCGCGCTTCGCGCGCGTTTAGGTTCTAGGCAGCTCCAGCCCGTGACAGTCTCACAGTTGCGTGCAGATGCGCACGCACACATGCGTCGTCAGGAGATTTCTTGGGGGCCTCTTGGGGGCGTCTTGAGGGCTCGTCGAGCGTCTGAAGGGCTTTGTGGGGCGTCTTGGAACCTCTGAAGCCGTCTTGGGCGTCTCAAGAACTACGACCCTCTGGACACTTCTGGGTTCGCGTTTCCCTCCTTGGGCCTGTCTTGGAGCCGTCTTGGGGCCCTCTAGTGCCGTCTTGGGCGTCCCAGGGACTGTCTTGGGGCCTTCGTGGGCCATCTTGGGGCTCTCTTGGAGGCTTCTTCATCGGTCTTCGGGCGGTCTTGGGGGCCTCTGGGGCCGTCTTGGAGCGTCGAGAATCTGAAAAAGCGAAAACTCGAAAAAAATTCAAAAACTTTAGAAAAATCAGCGAATGTTGCCGCTTCGGGCGCTCTTGAAGGGCCTCTTGGAAGCATTTTGGGGGCCTCTTGGGCCCTCCAGGAAGCCTCTCGAGATGGAAGCTTGGATTGCCGGCTCGGGTTACCCCTCCTGTGTCCTTATTGGGGCCGTCCTTGAACGCTCTTGGGCCGTCTTGAACGTCTTGGGGCCCTCTTGGGAGCGTCGGGAAATTGAAAAGGCGAGAACTCGAAAATCCTTCAAAAACCTACTGGCAATCAGCGATTGTTGCCTCTTCGGGCGCTCGTGGGCGGCCTCAGTTTGAAACGGGTTGGGAGACCCAACCACACGCTTCGCCTAAGGCGAAGCCCATATCCAATTCTGTTGTACCGTAGTGACGATAGTCCAAGAAGTAGGAGATCGTCGCGGGAGCGGGGGGCCATGTCAAGCGAATCTGCTGTCGGTCTCAATTGCAAGTGATGTGCCTCGCGATGAAGCGCAACCATGTGTTGGCGGCCGGCCGCTTGAACACAAACGGCCGCGGACAAACGCTCGCTATCTCTCGCCTTTGACCCAATCTCCTTTTCAGAGTCGGGAGGGAGAAGACGAAGCGTGAGTCCGCCGCCAGATGTACAGCAAAACAAAATATGACACAAGGTAGGCAGCAGCAGGCGGGCTCAACAAGGAAGGTTGACCCGCTCGCAAGTTCCCTTGCATTCAAGTTGCCTCGCAAGCAAGTTACCTTGCAGATGACTGCTCGTCAGGCGGCTCAGACGATCTTGTCTGGCCAGCCCTGTTTGGAGGGGGGCCTTTAAAGTCATGCTTGAAGGATTGCGTTCTTTCCATGACCTGTAGGAGCATGTTTCTGTCGATGCTCACTTTGGTGTGGCCGTCCACGGTCATGTCGCGAGTGTCACACCACTGCGCACAATGCACGATACCTCGCTCCATCATCTGTCGCATCCAACTGATGTGTCCCCCAAAAAATACACTCAATCGGTTTCTTCAGGTCTAGACCGGCCTGGGACCCTCTTGGGCCGTCTTGGCGCACTAAGGGGGGCCTTTTGGGCCGTGCAGGGGCGATCTTAAGGGCCCCTGAGGTCGTCAAGGATGGTGCGAAGACGAAAAGCACGAATACTGTAAAAATGTATGTTTTACGAAGGGGATTGGGCTATTTATGCCTCTCGGGACCCTCGTGGGGGCAAATTGCACAGGTTACGAGGCGTCTTCGAAACCTCTGGGGCAGTTGGAGACGTCCCGTGATCCGTCGAAACCATCTTCAGGATGTTGGCGGCTGGCTGGGGCCGCCGTGACGCTCATCGGACCGCCCTCCGAGGCGACTTTGGGCCCCCCAAGGTCCGGCCGGGCCCCTGCGCACACACACACACACACACACAGACACACACACACACACACATTTGTGGTAGGAGTCGCGACCCCGGGGGCCCGGGCCCTGGTGCGCCTTTGTATGTATGCAAGGGCAGACGTATGGTTTTATTGCGTTTGCGAGTAGGCAGTTTGCGAGTAGTGGAACGCGCTCGGCGAACCTTGGTCCGACTGCCGTATGTTGGGGTGGCTGCAGTCCACTGCCGGGGCCTCCCCCGGCACACTGGGGCCCCCTTCCGCCCGTGCGGAGGAGGAGGAGGAGAAGAGGGAGGAGAAGAAGGAGGAGGAGGCGGAGGAGGAGGAGGGAGGAGAGAGGAGAGAGGAGAGAGGAGAGAGGAGGGAGCAGCGATCGGCTGTGTCTGTGCCCCTTGGCCCCTAGGGATCGCTGCGTCCTGCCCCGCGGATGAGGAGGAGAAAAAGTAGATGGATGAGGAGGAGGATGAGGAGAAGAAAAAGATGAATGAGAAGGAGGAGAAGGGGGAGAAGGAGGAGGAGGAAGAAGAAGAGAAGATGGATGAGGATGAGAAGGAAGAGGAGCTTGAGGAGAAGAACATGGATGAATGAGGAGGAGGAAGAGAAGAGAAGAGAAGATGGATGAGGAGGAGAAAAGGAGGAGAAGAAGGAGCAGGAGGAGAAAAATATTGATGAGAAGGAGGAGAAGATGACTGAGGAGAAGGAGGAGGGGGAGGAGGAGGAGGAGGAGGAGGAGGAGCAGGAGAGGATGAGGAGGAAGAGAGAAGATGGATGAGGAGGAGGAGGAGGAGGAGGAGAAGGAGGAGGAGAAGGAGCGACTACTTTCTGCTCAAGCCCCCCTCCAACTGGGCCCCATCGCGCGAAGAGCGGCGCCAGACACGGCGCTCCCGACACGACGCCCCGTGGCTCCTTGACCCCCACGCAAGCCGAAGCCAGGACGAAGATAAACTCGGGCGATAGATCCTCCTCCTGCTCTTCTTCCTCCTCGTCCTCCTCCCCGACCTCCTCCTCCTCTTCCTCCTCCTCCTTGTCCTTCTTGTTGTCCTCCTTCTTGTCCTTTCTCTTGTCCTGCTCCTTCTCCCTTCCTCCTCCTCCTCGCCCTCCTCCTCCTCCTCCTCCTCCTCCTTGTCCTCCTCCTGCTTGTCTCCTCCTCCTTCTCCTCGCTCTTCTTCTCTAGGACGAAGCCAGGACGAAGATAACATCGAGTGAGGACAAATCGCAAAACCTCTGGGATCTGGCGGCTCTGGAGGATGTCTCGGGCGCCGCGGCCTTCTCAGAGCAATCTGGAATGCTCTGGAACGGCTTAATCCTCGTCCCAGCCCCGTCCGGCCCACGCCTCACCCCACAGGCGGCAACGTCAGGGGGGGGGACCGGCTGAGGCTCAGGGGGGGGGGGGGGGGGGAGGGGGTGGGGGGGGGGGGAAACATCGACCCAAAATCGACAACACATCACCGACAGATCGGCGACAGGCCAGAGGGCGCGGCCGCACGCTCCCGGGCGGGGTGGGCCATCGGGGCCCTACATCGGCCATCAGTGGGCGATTGGGGGTCGATGCATCCCCCTGAGCCTGTCTCCCCTTCACGTTGCCACGTGGTCTTCGGTTCATAGCTCGACTATCCAGCGGCCGATCGGAAAGATCCTGGCACCCCCGAACACCGTCGACGATGCGCAGCCGATGGAACACGCCCTGAACTTCGGAAACTTTCGACCTCCCCCCTGAAATCCTTCGAACACTCCCCTTAAAGCCCCTTCGAAAACCCTCCCGAGCCGATCTCCCCCTGACGTTGCCCCTGAATCCCCCTGCCCTGTCCTCCATTCCCCACGCCAACCCACTTCCCCCGCACCAGCGCGGTGGCCAGCACGCGCGGCAGCGCGACTGGATAGTGGGCTGTGAGCATCTCCGTCCCCATGCGAGAGGTCATAATCTTGTCCAGCCACTCGTCGATATCCTTCGATGTCTAGAAGCAGAAAACACGCATAAACAGAAACGTTCGGAGTTCCGCACGGATTTCTTTGATCGGAGCTTGACCCCCAGATTTCTTAGGGGTCCAACGCCGATCCAAGGAATCCGCGCGTAACTCCGAAAGATTATAATTATGCACGTTCTCCTTCTTCTTCGAATGTCATCGAGGTGTTGTTCCGCAGCCCTTCTGCCGCCCTAGAAAACAACGGCACGATCTCCTTGTGCCTCTCCCGGAGGTCCTTGATCACCTCTGTGAAGTCGGATAGGTCCGACGCGTCGAACTTTACGAGCCGCAGGTTGTTGAAGGACTGCTCAAGCGTCGCGTAGCACTCCTTCATGCCGGGGATATCCTTCCAGTCTGGGCAGCTGGTCTCCATCTGCCGCAGGCGCTGCGCGAACCGCGGCGGAAGCTCCTTGTGGATGATTTCCGCGACGCCTTCCGGCGTGTGCTCCCTGGCGATCTGCTCTATGGTCAGAAGAACATAAAACTACGTAAACATAAACATTCGAAGGCCCGCGCCGATATCTTGGATCGGTGCTGGACCCCCTCCCGTGCGCGCGGAGCGCGCCAGGGGCGGACTAGAAGTGCCACCAGTGGGGCCGTAGCGTCGATCCAAGACATCCGCGCGGACCTCCGGAAATGTATGTTTGTGCCGTTTTCTTTCTTCGAATGGTGATCTGGTTGTACCCGCGTTCTCCAAGCGACCAGATCTCGGCGCCGTCGGCGGGCTCAAGTCCCCACGGCCCCTTCACCCAGCGAAGGCCCGCTGCGGGGATCGGCTCCCCATCGCGGGGGTGAGCAGGGGGAGACGGCGACGAGGCAAACAACGAGGAGGAGATCGACGAGAGAGGAGGAGGAAGGACCCGTGAACCAAACAACCTTTACATACATATATTTATATATATGTATATATATACACATAGATACTCTAACGATCGCGCGAGCGTCGCGGGCGCGAGCTCAGAAGCTACTTGCCATGGGGCCAAGCATACAAGGCGTCAGAGGGGCCGTGTCTGGATGACCGGGTCTTTGGCTTGAAACCCACGCGTTGGCGTATGAAGTCGCATTGAAGCTTAGATTTCGTGACAGTCCTGGGCCATCCTTGGGCGACGCTGCAACTCTCTTCGGGCACACTTCCGCAACACATGGAACTTCCAGCATCAAAAATTATGGCACTCTTGGACATCCTGTACGGGCACTCCCGAAGCCTCCTGGGGGCTTGCTGTGAGCTGGAAGTTTCCTGGGGCAACCTGGAAGCCTCCTGGGGAAACGTCGTGGGGCACCCCTCGAAACTTCTGCACAGCTCCAGGGAGTCCCTGGGGGAGCTCGGAAGGAGGATGGGCAAAAGGAGGATTGAGAGCGGGAGAGAGGAGGCCATAGGGGAGGAGAAGGAGGAAGAGGAGGAGGATTAGGTTAGGCACGCCACTAGACCCGCCACCTCATGCAGGCACAGGAGCCCCTGCACGACACGGCAAGCCCGTGGAATCACTTCAACCATCCAGTTCCGCCGCCGCTCGTCGACCCTTTGGGCTTTGGGCGCGGTGGGGGCCCACTCCCAGGTGCCAAAGTCACGGGCACACTGGGGTTCACGACGGGCGGGCGAGCGGCAGCGGCGGCGAGGGACTCAGAAGACGGAGGCCCAATCTCGCCGCTGGCAGACGTCGAGGATGAACTTGCTGGGAACACATGTGGTAGTCCAATCCGCGGCACACCGAAACCGGCATCCCCGATCATTTCTCCAGTGTCGCGCTGCACGTCGGGGTCGTCGTAACGCATCATCTGCATCTGCGCTGTGGCCTGGTCGCGTACTGCGTCGACTGTAGCCCAGCCCCTCTCTCTGTTTACCACACGGGTGTACCTGGGAGCAAGTTCTAGAAAAACGTTCGGCGGCTGAGCCAAGCCCCTCGCGCCACTTACCTCACGGGTGCACCTGGCGGCTGGGACTCGCGTTCTAACACCCCCAGCCCGAGCGCCCCCATGCCCTGCAGGCCCCCCCAAAACTCGACGACGGACGCGAGAGGGAGGTGGCTCAGCAATGTACTCTTGAGCGTGTTGTACCAATGCCGTCGTTGTCCAGACCACTGCTCTCTGGACTCGGCTTCTCAGAAAAAATCCTCGAAGTCGCGCTGCACCTGGGGGTCGTCGTGCTCCATCACCTGCGTCTGCACCGCGTCTAGGTCGGGCACTGCGCCAACTCCATCTGCAGTATGATCTGCCGCCACAACTTGCTCCAGCCGGTGAAATCAACCCCGCGCTTGGTCGACTTCGCGCGCGTGGAGGAATTGGCACGGCAATTGGCGGTGGTGGCGTCCGAATAAAAGGCTGCGGTACATGTGGAGCAAGAAGTTCCCGGTCGTGCAACTGCCTGACAAGCCTTGCACGTTATGCTTCCAGTGCCGCCTTCGGAGGGCATCTGTAGCCAGGATATCTTCCATCGCGAATGCGGTTCAATGCGCCCTGGCCGTTCTTTGTGATGTCATCCTCGCAGGTCTCTCTCTCTCGATCCCTTGCCAATCGTAGTGCCGTACGCAGCGCATTTGGCAGATAACAATAGGCCGTATTTCGTCCATTCGCTGTCCGTGCATGCTGGGCGTAACTTGCCATCGCCCTTAACGCGATTACCCTTGACGTCGCCAAACTCATTGGCCGTGTCAAAGGTGGCCTCGCACTGCGTGTCCACGAACTCCTGCAGGGCGCCCGCCGCCGCATACTGTCTGCATGCCGTACAAAACCACCAACTCTTTAACTTGACCGTGTCGCGCTTAGACCTCCCGGCCATGACTTGTACATTATCATTATTTACTTTGGGCATGGCTGTGGGCGGTCTTTCGGCACACCAAGGATCAGGATCTTGCAGAGTCGGCCAGCGCTTGTCGTGCACGGAGTCGCACCTGGGCGCACATCGCATCCCGCTCGTCCGTGCGCGGCAGCGGTTAACATACCCTTTCCCCAGACGAATCTGCTGCCACCGTCGCAAGCGCGCCCGCGGAGCCGTTGCCCACAGCGAAGATATGATAACTTCCGCCTCGTCATCGTCCTGATGGGAGGGCGCCCATTTCACCTCGATGTGCCGCTGCTCGTTCTCCATGATGGTTCGCCTGATGCATGCCCATATATATATATATGCATTGCTACCGCGTCCTGGGTCTCGAGCCTTGCCTTTGTTCCAAGCGCTGGGCAGAGGGTAGTGGTCCGTGAAATAGACGATATCACCAATAGTCTCTTCGATAGCGATCGCGAAGGCGGTGAGCTCTGCCCTAGGTACTGTCTGCCGCCGTCCAGGTAGATCTGCCATCGTGCCCGCTGTCATATGCCACTCGCCATCGATCAACTTCATAGCAACCCCGATGCCGACCTTTTTGCGCCTGGGATCTGCTCCGTGAAATCCCCCCGATCTGTCTCCGAAGATGCATAACTTCCTGCCAGGGACTCTCGCTTGCCCGGAAGAACCAAACCTGACGTAGTCCTGCCTGTCGATGTCGGTGACGATCGGGTGCGTGAACTCCTTCGGCGGAATGCCTCGCAACCGTAACGCAGGGTTGGCATCCCCTCCTGCCATCGCTTTCGTCGTCAGGTAATCTGTCGTCTCGTATGCGTCGTTCCCTGTGTAACAGGGGCATGTGTAGATACGATGGAAAAGGGTTTCTGGCTCCAGTTCCCACCGCCTGCAGATGTCAGACTCGCATTCGTAGCCAGCTTGAATTTGTCTATCCCTTGGCCACTGCCCACCTGCAACGGCGACGATGTTGAGAGCCCAATCGTGCCATTCAGCCTTGTCCGCGTACCTCTGTTGTTCCCTTCCGATATGCCATACGTCGCCTCCATTGCACAAGTCTTCGCCGCGGAGGTGCGTGGCTGCTTGCTTCCACCTAGCTGTGCCCAAGAGAGTCCCAAGGTCTTCCAGGAGCTGGGTGTACTCGGCCGCGTCCTCATCGCATCTGCCGTGATGGTCAATAAACGATAAGCACCATTCTTCGTATCCGTGTGGTGTGGGTCGCTTCCATAGTGCTGCTTGCACTGGCTTCCACCCTTCCGTGATGGGCGTCGCCTGCAACGCGGCGACGGGTCCATGAACCGTGTGCCGCATCTTGGTGCCAGCACGCTGGAGGGTTCGGTGCGTCGGTGTCCAGATTTGTCGTACTCGCCTGTGAAGTTCTGGGTGTAGCAGCCATTGGTGTAGCCATTCGCTGACCAGCTGCCGTCGTAGAGAGATGCCTGGGTCCTTGAAATGATATAACACTGCCATGCCCGTAGATAAGCATCGCCCTGGACCTGGTCCCGCGGCCGATCGCATAGCCCTGCGCCGAAGGCGCAGTACCCGACTGGGCACAATCCCCCAGGCCTCGTGTACGAAAGTAGCTTGAGGTGCCGCGCCAGTCGAGAAGAGGCCCCGCGCGCTCTTCGCAACTCTGATACCATGCGTCGCAGCCGAAAGATATTGCCTGCACGCTGCTCGGCCTTCCTCTGTCTTGCTCTGGCCATTTTCTGGGAGCGCTTGCCATGCCACTGACGTCCGTGCCCAGGTCGACCATGTCCGTTTGGCGCTTGCCAGGGAGCCCTCGCTGTGCTAACCTTTGTTCCAGATCCGTCGTCGTAGCTGAGGGTTCGAGGCGACCAGTACGGCTTTCAAAGAAATAATGAGGTTTCTGCTAGCTGCTTGCTTCATGGACTCGTCCGCGAGCTCCGCCATCTGGCGCCCGATTACCTCTGCGGGGCCCTCGACTCTGCCCAATGCGTCGTCGACGTACGTCCATAGCCCAGATGCCTGCACACGTTTTTGGCCTGCGTCTAGGAGGGGGAACACATGCATTGTCGCAAATCTGGCGCCTTGAACCGATCCTGCTACGATGGAGCAAGTCGGGCCGATTCTGGGGCCAATCCAATCAGCATGCTTGCGATGCCTCGGCCCCAAGAAAGCTCCTACCTCCAGCGCCACAAAAGTCTGTGAAAATGCCAACTGGCTGCCAGCATTGATCAACCAACCAAGACCGAGGGACTCGTAAACTTGCCCCATGTCGGCAAAGAGTTCAGCGTGCACGATGCCCAGAGCTTGTCCTGCCTCATCCAGGGTCGCACGTAAAAGCGCAGCCCCCAATGCTGGCGACCCTCTGAATGCTGTGCCCAAGTGATCCTCTAACTGCCGCATCCATACGTCCACTACACCTGACCGCATGCGGGACCAGATTCGCACTGTCATAAGTAGTATCACCAGCACTCCGTCACCTCCTGCTGGTTTGCCTGCGATAGCGCCGGTCGCGCCGAGGATCTGCGGGGGGGGCGCGCGAGGTTGGGCTCCGATCCGCGAATAATGTGCAGGTGCTCGGGCTTGCCTTGGTCGGGGAGCCGCTCGATGTCCAGGGGGCCTATGCAGTCGACCCCGCGTGCTCTCTTAATCCCCATTCGCTTCGTGGCCGCGCTCAAGTCCTGCAATCCCAGCTCGGGGAGCTCTTCGAGCCGAGCTCTTTGACGACATGATAGTAGTGCCGATTTGGATGCTTCCTGCCTCTGGGGTGTAGCTGTCAACCTGTTCGCCCATGTGTCGCTCTTATGCTGCGTGCTATGTGCAGGGTCCGCCACTGTCGTGCCCGATATCGTTTCCTCCAGGCGAGGTGCCGGGGCATCCTTTGTCCAGTTATGTAATGCTCCTGGAGTCTTCTTCCTCACGTCCTGCGCCCAAGTGATAAAGCCCTTGCGCCCATCCGCCAGAGCCCGCCCTGCTGCCTCGCCTGCATGTACAGCGGTACGCTCGATGACGTCGTCGCGCTCCTGCTTGACTGGGCTAAAGATGTCGTTCGCGTGCTGCTGCCAGAGGTGGGTGATCTCGACCTTCTTATACTGGCTGGCGCCATGAACTTGCTGGACTCGTTTTTGATAGTCTTGCTTTCTCTCAATGAACTGTTCAGGGTCCTTCTTATGATTGATCAGGCTGCTGATCGCAAGCACGCGCGCGTGGGCAATCGCCCACCATTCCGCATCTGGATTGCGAAGGCGAGGCTGATGCAGTGCTCTTTTCCCATTTGATGCCGAACCCTTTCGCCCTGCCACAATAGCCGTCTCGTGGATGCCGTGGTACTTCCGATTGTTTCAATACTGCGTGTTCCAAAGTAATGACCAATCTGCCGTAGAGAGTTGCCATCTGCAGCGCAATCTGGAATCGCCCGCGATAAGCCTGTTGTCGCCATCGTTCATCTCGTATCCAAATGTCAGGTGGGGCCTCTGTCGCAGGAGGCTTGTGAAAGGTCGCGGGTAAGGCCGCGGGTTCGCGACGCCTCCAGGAGCCCCCGCTGGGGCCAGCGCCCGAAGTCCCGAGGCTCGGGGTGGCGCGCCGGTTCAGCCAGTTACCAGTTGGCGCAGCGGAACAGTTTGACGGTCGGGCCTCCTGGCCTGGGGGCTCCTGGGACCTGGGATCCAGCTGGGGTTCGCGGCGGCGGTTCGGAGCGGCATGATGCCAGGCTCCGATGTTAGACAGTCCAAATTTGGCGCCCTCCCACGCGTCGCTGGTGATCAAAAAAGGCACAGTCGTAGGAAACGAAAAAGAAGAGACCGCCTCGCTCACCTGGGATCTGTTCGGAGCCGCCGGCTCAGGACCTCGACCAAGTAAGTCGAGCCCTTCTCTGAGATCTGGCGCCAATTCCGCCCGCCGTGGTATGTACTTGTCCCTCTGTTTGCTTCTCTTGCTCACAGGGCCCCGTTGATTGTTGGCTCTTTGTGTCTCAGGTAACGCTTTGGGGTGATCGAGAGCGCGGCGCCACCGCCCCTGCATTTTGCTTGCCAACTGGATCTTCAACCCACAATGCGTAGCCCACGGTTCTGCCGAGGCCTTCGCGATGACGAGCGTTCGTTCCCATGTACCCTGCTGATGCCACGTCGCAGTCGTAGAGTGAACCTTGCCCTTTGTCGCAGGTGACCCCCTCGGGGCCTGCGACGACCTCGCCCTGCATCTGCTCGATCCAGCCCGACGTGAGAAGGTCAGTCGGTAAACAGTTCCATTCTGCAAGTACGCCAAGGATCCTTCTGCATCCTCACGAAAGCCGCGAGGGCTGCCATAATCTGTCGGCCCCTCCCAGTGAACTTCAACTTCGGCTGCTGGCACGCAGCGATGACGGTGAAATTCCCCGTGCTGAGAAGAAGCGCCATGTGGGGGAAGCCGACGAACGCCGCGTCGCCCTGCATGTCATACTTGCCTTCCCAATGCTCAAGAGATGCAGCTCGGACGTGCGTCTGCGCTGCAATCACTTCGCCTGCCGATTGTCCATGCTGAGACTTGCCGCTCGGGACCGCGGGGGTCATCGCTGCCTTCCAGCCCTCTTTCTGCACGAATCTCTCGGTGCTCAAGATATCGCTTGGTCTGTCGTGCGTCTCGACGAAAGCTAGACAATCGCATTCTGCACTGCTGGGACCTTGCACAAAATGCTGCATCTGAGGCACCAATCCCGTGACGCTGCCGAACGGCATCGTGAACGGCTGAATATCGGACTCCGCGTTCGCGGCGATCTCGGCGCATTCGGCCGCGCTAAAGATACTGCCCAGGAGCTGCAGCCACAGCGCTGCCCGCAGCAGCCTCCCCATCAGACTTCGCCCTCTGTTTTTCAGCCCTGGCTTGATCCAAGGCTGCCTTGCTGGCGTCGCGGATATTCTGCCTCTTTTCGTCCTGGCTGAGCGGGCTGCCCGCGGCTGCCGCGCTGCTGCTAGAGCCTGGAACGGCGGTTGCAATAGGTGCCGCCGCCTCTGGTGCTGTAGTTGGGGCTTCTGCGACCCCGCTCCTGGGTTCGGCGCCTCCTTCGCCTTGCACCTTCCGCTTTTCCCTTGGGGCTGCCATTGCCAACTTTGCTTCCTCGTGAACGTCCTCGATGCACTTGAACTTTGCCTGCAGCGAGCCCATCGGCCCCTCCTGGAACTGCCCGGGTTCTTTCTCCCACTGCAGAATACTTTGCATATCCTCGGGCGCGACATCGCAGTCCTCGAGGCCCCCGAAGAGCGACGCGTCGAACTCGAACTTGACCTTGAGCGCGCCGCTTCCAACCTTCCCCTCGGGCTTGACCACCTCGATGCCCGACTCCGCGCGCGCCAGCGCCAAAGCCTCCCACTGTTGCTGAAGCGTCTGCACCCGTTGCTGCTCGAGCTTGGCCATATACTCTTCCTGGTCGGCCAGGTAGAGTTGTGCGTCGACGAGCTTCTTTCTCTGTTTGCCGATGCGATGATCGATGTCCTTGAGCGCTCTGTTGGCGCCGCCGAGCAGCTGCGCCCCCGCGAGTGGCTTCGGAGGTGCGGGCGCTGTCTCGGCTGCCTCGCATTCTTGAGCCTTGCGCCGCAGCGCGCCCACGGCGGCCGCGATCACGGGGCCCGCCTCGTCGCCTTCACCCTTGTAGAACGCCAAACCCGCGATGAGGGACGCGGCGGAGGGCGGCCCGGCAGCCGCGCCGCCTCGTCGCGCTCGCCCTTGGGGCCCCAGTTCCAAGCCACATAGCTGTTGCCTTTCCGCCACGGCGCCCTCTCCGCCCAGCTGCGCCCGAAGTCTGACCACCAAGTATAATACCTCTGATTCTCAGCCCACACTCTTGACAACGGCGGCGGTGCTCCAATGGGCGGCATGAGCTCGGCCCTGCACGTGAAACACTCCGTCTTGTTGGCCAAGTTCCATGTGCAGCCGCGCGACTTGCAGCCGATGGAAACCCGCGCCCTTCCCACTGCTGAACCCCACGCTGCGCGAGAGGAGACGAAAGCGCCCACCTGCGGGCAGCAGGAGGCACGGAGTGACCTGGACAAAACTGTCGGGCTGAGGCGCCCTGGCACTGGCCGCGGACTAGCGGCACCCGCGCGCCCCCCTGTGGAGCAAAGCATCTTGAGCCAAAATGGCTACGGGGGAACGGAAGGAAGGGGAGGAGAAGGCGAATAAGCAGGAAGAGGGGGAACAACACGAGGAGGAGGAGGAGGAGGAGGAGGAGAAGGGAGTAGGGAGGAGGGAGCGGGGATGATGAGGCGACGGGGGAGGAGGAGGGGGCGCGGAGGAGCGGCACGCGGCCGAGGGGAAGAGGGGGCGGGGAGGCGGGGAGGAGGAGGACGAGGAAGAAGCGGGATGGAAGGAGAAGGAGGAGGGAGAAAGAAAGGAAAGAGGCCCTCATCCTCCTCCGCGGCCATTTTGGCTTCAGACCCCCGCGTGCGCCAGCAAGGAATGGATGCCGCTAGTCCGCGGCCAGCCTCAGCGTCTTTCACGCGTCGCCCCAATCTGCGCAACGCCGCGCGGACGGCCTTCCTTTGCACCCTCGCGCCATGGCCGCTCGGGACAGAGCCACCAACGCCGCGCCGTGGATGTGCCAGCGGCGACTGCGCAAACCCACCACCTTCCCCCTTTTCATCAACAGGGCTGACCGCAAGTGGCGCCGCATGTGCGGACTACCCAAAGGATCGCGCTTCAAGGGGCACCCACCACCGCGCGCGCCCCCCCCCCGCCCCCCCCCCGCCCCGACTCGATCACCACGAGGCGGCGCGAGGCCGAGCTCCAGCGGCAAATTGCTGGGCCCCGCCAGCAGTTCGGGCTCGACGCGGGAGGCGCCACTGCGGAGGTGGTTCACCCAAGCATGGCGGCGCCAGCGGCACAGCGCCGCCCTGGTCGAACACCGAGACGAGTGCCAAGCGGGAGCGCAGCACCCAGATCAACGGCATTGTCAAGCAGCTCGGCGCCACCGACTCGGGCATCCGCGATACCTCGCTGGCTGAGAAGGAGAAGTTGCAGCCCCAACTTCAAGCTGAAAGGCCCAGCGAGGCCAGCGCGCCGGTGGTCGCCGGCCAGCTCGACCAGGCCAGGCAGAACCACTCCGCTTGCCAAGCCCACAGAGAGGCCGATGAGATGGCCTTGGAGCTGTGGACGCCGCCAAACACATCATCGAGCTCGAGGAGAAGATGCGCGCCGCCATCGCTCAGAATTTGCCTGGCCAGAGCCAGGCGCCCTCCCTCGACGCGTTCATCCGTGCCCTCGAGCACAGTTTGAGTCCGTGGTGCTGTCGTTTGTGGCCTCCGCTGGCTTCGCTTCTGAGCTGGCTGCAATGGCGGCGGCTGACAGGGAGCTCAAGGAAGCGGCGCCGCCTGGGCCACCTGAGCCCCCCACCCCCCCCCCCACCCCGAGGGGCAGCCAGCGCCCCCAACGCCTGGGTCAGCGCAGCATCCCAGCATGGAGGTGGACGAGGTGGCCCAGGCCCGAGCCCACGCGGACAGCCTGGACGCCGAGACCTGCAAGGCCTTCTTGGCCAGCCGCGGGGTCGACGCCCCAGCGGGAGAACAGGATGCCGACACGCTGCGTGAGCTCTCCTCAGTCTACGACGTGACCAAGAAGCTTCGCACCCAGAAGGGGCCCAAGCCTACCGAGAGAGCCGCCGCTGCCCAGGCAGCTGCAGCCAGCTCGAGTGCGGCATGAAGGGCGACCAGGGAACATCAGACCACATCGGAGCATCGCTGTACTCTTCGCCATGCCGATGCACATTCCTGGTCGTGCAGGGGTGGGGCCTGTTTCTGCCCCGCAAGAGAGTGCAGCTTCCATTTCCAGTGGAGTCCTTTTGGTCGCAGGGGCGGGGCCTGCTGCTGTCCCACATCGTCCACATGTTCCAAATACTTTTGGCTCGCCCTCGGTCGCAGGGGCGGGGCCTGCTGCCGCCCCACATGCCTCGCAACAGTACCATGCTTCCAACGTGGCTCACAGGCGATATGCGAGAAGTCTAGACGATCCTGGGCATAACCCATTTTGTGACATTGACGCTAGCCAGGTGCGTGGCCAGCCAGAGGCGCCCCCCCCCCCCCCCTCTACCCACCGAATCCCAAAGACTTTGTTCGCCAGCGGGAGGAGGCCACCACGTGAGAGATGCCGCGGGCTGTGCCCAAGCAGCTGGCCAAACAAGGTTCTATAGCGACGATGAACACCAGCCCACGTGGACCACTCATCGATTTTCTGGCCGACGCTACCCAGTGGACCATCATGACTCAAAAGCACCGCGTCGGCCGGCAAACAGAATGCCGCCCTAGACAAATGGCACAGCCATCTGTGGGCGCCAGCCATGCGCAATCAAGCTGGCGGAACGGGCACCACGGGCGGCGTTGCCGTGCTCGTGCCCAGTCACATCAGTATTCACGCTCATCCTGGTGAAACGCATGTCCTCATCCCTGGACGCGCAGTTGCCGCGCGCGTTCAGCGCGGCATACCTGGAGGGCCCATCGCCATTTCACTCCACCCAAAAAAAGAGAAGGCCTGGGCGCCTACAACTCGCAGGCCCTCTGGACAGTCACCCAGTTCCATTGCGTGCTGAACTCCAAGCAGCGGCCGTGAACCAATGGTGCGAACTGGAACATGGACGTGGAGACGCTGCAGCAGTTCGATTTGATGTCGTCTGTGAATGGCCCCGCGCACACCACCGACGCCCCCACATGTAGGCAAACCCAGCCAGGCTCTTTGATTGAGTTGATTGATTGAGTTCTTTGTGGCCACTATTTCCCTAGCTCCCGAGCTGGGCAAGCATTTGCAAGTCGATGAGTCTGCCCCCACCTTTCCTCGCCCCCCCGCCCCCATCCCGTTCAAAATGCGACGCGTGGAGATTTGGGCGAGAGTTCCGCGCGAGAGGAGACCCTTCCCCGCGGCCCCGCCCGTTGGCTGCGCCAAGCCACCCGCGCATCCTTGGAAGGCCGCGCAGGAGGCTGCCGGCCCCAAGGTAACTACTACCCAGTCTGATTCAGTGAATCGTTGGGACCTGGTCTCCGAGCTAATTCATGTTGAGCTGCCCCGCAGACGCGGCAAAGTCGGGCCCACTTCCAAGGCGCATGTTAGCACCTCTGGGCCCCTTCGGACCAAGCGGCAAAAGCTCGCTTGGACCCCGCCCAAACGCAGAACCTACAGACGGCAACGCCAAGGCGCGGGCCACAGCCCCGAGGTGGGCCAAGCACATTGCTAGAGCCAGGCAGATGTTGACTGAAGAGTTCAGTCAACTCCAAGCTAGCGCTGCAACGTGCTACCCGTCTCCCCAACGGCCCCATGAGCGCTCCGGCACCTCTCGAGTGAGGCCCGCGCAAATATAGCTTGCCTGTATAATAAATGTGAACACCTGCTGGATTGTTCAAGCGGACACGTCGTTGCGGAGCGTGCCAGACTGGCCAAACCAGACGGTGGCACGCGACCCATTGCGCCCACTCTGACCTCGCGCAGTCCCCGGGGTAAGATTCGACGGCCACTCACCGCAGCCTGGCAACAATATAACTGCTCCTGAGAGCACTGGGGAACCCAGGAAGGCCGCTCCTCGGCGGACAACGCCTTCCCTCGCAATGCAAGCGCAGAGGTCTCGGCCACGCTGGGAGAGATTCAATTCGCAGTGCTGCCGAATATGATCAAGCGTTTCGAAATGATACGACCCCTCACATGCTGCGAGAGGCGATGGAGCTGAAGTCCCCGGCCAGATTGGCGCGGGTGCCCACCCACCTGCACTGACAGCCTAGGAGGCCGAAAGCATTTGGATGCGCGTCTCTGGAGGTGCAGGCGCGTCAAGGCACCCTTGCTGGATGCCCACATGCCGCAGGGGTCCTGCACCCCCTCACGCTGAGAGCTTTCAAGCGACTAAGCGTCGTCGCCCCATGCATCGCGCCAACGGCGCTGGTTGACGACATCTCTATCCAACTCACGACTAACGACGAGGCGGACGCAAGTCTGCTTGAGAAAGCAGTGCGAAGTTTCAGACACGACGCCAACAAGGCTTGGGGCTCCACACCCAGCCTAAGAAGTCTGGCGTCGTCGCGGGCACTGCGCGCCCAAGAATCCTTCGCGCCAAGAAGGCGAAGCGACTGGCCTTGCAGCTCAGACCTCGGAAGCGGAACTTGGGCCACGAGCTGTCCGCTATGAAGGTCAGACGCTGCCGAGAGAAGGCCAGATTCAAAACCCTCGAGCAGCGCAAGAGGAAGCATCTGGCCCTCGAGTGCGCCACGGGCCGTCGCGCCTCCAAGATGCGGAGGACACGGGCTTTACCTGTGGCGGGCCATGGAGCTGGAGTGGCGGGAGTGTCAGGCACTGCCCTTAGGTAATTTCGCAAGTTTGCTCCAGCTGGTGCAGGAGGCAAACCGCGCGGCGGAGCCGCCGCCTGCCTCGTCGCCGACCCAGACGCGCGATGAAACCCCATCTTTGACTGCACGCTCGGCATCACGGTGAAATACGCGACCCAAGTAAGGGGTTCACGATTTTCGATTGGTAAGCACCAGCGCGCGCGGGCTCAGCTCGCACGCATCGCGCAGTCCAACCCGACGCAGCAGAGCGCTAGAGGCCCCATTTCCTGCACATGGTTGTCGCTCATACGCATCGGCTGGACCATGGCCAACGCGCGCACATGCATGGACGACGAGGGCACCGACATCAGCCTGCTCCAGCGGTGCCCGCACGACGTCAAGCTCCACCTCATCGGGGGCGTCGAGCAGTGGCAGCACGGCAGGCTGCTGCGTCCCAAATCCGACGGCAGTGGCGTCATCTGGCACCGCGCTCTCAGGAACGGGCCGCGTATCATCGCTTGCCCGAAACAGCTTGGAGCGCCCTCAGCGGCCTGGGCGAACATCATTCCCCTCCCCGCCGCTCG